GTGAGGATGGACATTACTTGTATGATTACATTTGCAAGAGTTGTTCTGATAACTGCATCTCGTGTGACAATGATCAAAACTGTAACAATTGCATTGAAAAGGACTATGTATTGGTTGACTCGCAGTGTGTGAATTACAAAAATGTCGAATTTTGTCTGTCTGCGAATAATTCAAAGTGCACAGAATGTGACGGATTTCACAAACCAAGTGATGCCGGTGATTATTGTGTGAAAATGACAAATTATGGGTTGGTTGTTGGTGTTCCATTATCAGTCACTTTTGTGATAATAATGTTTATTGTTGCTTTAATAATTATTGTGATATCAATGATACAGAAGAGAAAACAAAAGAAGAAAGAGCAGAACATTTGCAACTTCAAAATGAGTCGGTCAAACATTGAGATGGTCAAATTGAGTGCAAATTTGGTGACAAACAAGACAACACTGAAATTTGATTTGGATGACAACGACCCACTGAAAGTTGACATTGAAACAAGAGATTTGATATGTATTGGGAATGTGTCTAAAAGTAATTTGAAAGTTCAATTTAGTGTGATGGAAGGGTGTGATTATTATGAGATACGAAGTGTGCCACCACTTGTGACATTGAAGCCTGGATATGCTTGTGAGTTTGAGATATTCATCAAGCCGTTGTGCACTTGTGTCACCAAAGAACATGTAGCGATCACTTCATTAAATATAGCAACTGGTGTCATTGAAAATGCAAAAATTGAAATGGAAATTGAGACTGAACAAACAACAAAACTGAATTATAGAGAAATTATAGAAGACGAGAAGCTTGGAGAAGGCAGTTTTGGAATCGTCTATAAAGGGCAATACAGAGGCGTCAGTGTTGCAATCAAAAAGATGAAACAACTTGATAATAACGAAAGTGGACTTGTAGAGTTTGAAAGGGAAGTTGCGATGCTAGACAAGTTCCGTAGTGATTATATCATTCACTTCTATGGTGCTGTATTTATACCAAGCAAGGTGTGTATGGTTACCGAATTTGCAGCATTTAGGTCACTCCAAGACTTGATCAAACACAAAAAGAGTGATGAAGTTGATATGAAGTTGCGAACCAAATTTTTATTGGACGCTTCAAAAGGCATTCAATATTTACACGAAAATGGGATTTTACACAGAGACATCAAACCAGACAACTTCCTTGTGTTATCACTTGACTTGAATGAGAAGGTGAATGCAAAATTGACTGATTTTGGATCATCAAGAAATGTTAATATGCTGCAAACCAACATGACATTCACTAAAGGTGTTGGCACACCAACTTACATGGCACCCGAGATTTTAAAGCAAGAAAAATACAAGAAGAGTGCAGACATTTATTCATTTGCAATCACTATGTTCGAGACAATTACTTGGAAGGAAGCGTTTCCAAAAAGTGAATTCAAATATCCATGGAAAATTGCAGACTTTGTTAACAATGGAAATCGTTTACAAAAAGTTGATTGTATGACTGATGACCAATATAAACTAATATCAAACTGTTGGGCCCACAACAAAGAAGATAGAATTACAATTGAAGTTGCAAGAGAGCAACTTGAAAAATTCTTGAAATGATATTATATCCAGTTTTTTTAATTTGTTTCATATGGGTTTTATTTATAAATTGTTATATTCAAAATAAATTCATAAATAATTTATTTCAGTTATATTTTTATAACGTGTACAAGTGTATTTTACTTTTTATAAATTGCACTATATATTTGGGTAATATTATTGCTTGTTAATTATAATTGTTTATATCATTTTTAATAATTTGAGTGATAAATATATGTATTTAATATTATTTATGTTGTTTTGATTTAAATAACTATTGAAAAAAATTATGTTAGCTCTATTTTAAAATAAATATTTGTTCACTGTATATTTTATGATTTAGTAAAATGTAACTGAAGTGCTATTACCAATTTTTTCAATATATGAATGTATTTTTGAATAGGAATGATTTAACAAAAGTGTTCTTTGTTTATAAAATATTATGAATTGGTTCCTACAAACTTAGTGAATATATGCTCATACTTTTTACATAATAAAATTATGTAAATAAAAATCAACATACTTGTTTATTCAATGTGTCACAACAATAATGATAAAGTTTAAATCTACTCATTTTTACTTGTAAAAATTAGCTATACAAATCAAAACAAAAAAATTGTAAATTTAAAAATACAACACACATAATTTATAATCAATAAAAAAACAACAAAAATAATAATAATTACGCCCAAATATAAAATATTTGGGTGTGTTATTTAAGAAATAAGACAGTTATAAGGAAATGAGGAATGCATAATAAGAGTGTTGTGTTTAACTAAAATTAAAAAGACTGGTCACAAAACAACTATTATTTTTTATAATTGATATGCAGAAATAATTGTGCTTATTTATATAAAACATTAATTACAACTAGTTTGGTTACATGTTCAAGGGCAAAATTAATTCGATTAAGACTTTTTTCAGTACCAGTTTATATATCTTTAACTTAAAAGAAAAGAAACCTGTAATTTAAAAACGTTGATAAAAAAATAGCAAATCTGAGTATGAGTTTATTATTTTTTAAACAGTTATTTTTTGGTCATTATAATGATATATATGTGCAACATAAGTATATAACCATATTATTTTAATATTTAAAAACACAATAGACTTTAACATGTTAAAACAAAAACACAAACACTCAAAAATAAAGACAGTAATAAAAAAGACAAGAGCGTTTTTATCCATCAACTCAACAAAAAGATAATGTCGTTAAGAAACTTTTCTGTTTAACGCACAACTTTGGTGACAAGACTTTAATTCATGAACAGTACACAACAAAAAGTAACCACAAAAATAAAAACAAAGAATATTGTTATTATATCCAAAAACAATTTTAGTCTAGACTTTTACAAAAACAATCATAATTCATTCAAATGGGTTAATTTATTTGGTTGTATTTCAATTTGAAATGTTTAGAAAACAATCATAATAAATTTTCAAGTTGGTTCACAACAATTTCCATTTGTAGACGACTTTTCGGTTCTGACACAAACATTGTGTGATGATGTTGTACTGTTTTTCTTCAATCGTATCTTTCCTCTTTAATCAATTGTTGTGAATGACAAATCTGACAATTGTCTATAGAAATTTAAATATGTCATTTTGATACGCTTCAGATTACCAAAACACTTCATACATTGTGATTCCAAAAGAATAGACCTCTTCAGCCTTCTTATATTTCTCTTTGTTTAAAATTTCAGGTGCCATATACACCAGTGTACCAATTCCTTTCGTAAATGTCATGTTAGTTATCAACATATTGACATTTCTTGCACTTCAAAACAAGTCAAGTGTGATAACAAGAATATTGTCTGGTTTAATATCTCTGTGTAATATCCCATTCTCGTGTAAATACAATAGACCTCTAGCTGCGTCAATATTGAATTTAACATGAAGTTGCATAATAACTTCCGTTTACTTTTTTATGTTTGATCATGTCCGGTACACTTCCATATTGTGCAAATTCGGTGACCATACATATCTTATTTAGTATAAACAGGCACCGTAGAAATGTACAATATACTCACTTCTAAACTTATTCAACATATTCACCTCATTTTCGAATTCATCAATAAGTTTGTCAATGTCATTTGACTGTTTCATTTTTTCGATAACAACAACATTTCCTCTGTAAGTTCCTTTGTAAACAATTTTAAAAAGCCTTCACCAAGTTTCTTGTCTTCTTTCAACTCGTTGTAATCCAATTTGGTCAAGTTTTCTGTTGTGATTTCAATAGCAATTGGAACAGACACAGTCTCACTGTTTTCGATGTTCATGGTGACTATCATCATATCGTCGTGTAATTTCAAAGTGCAGTGTGGGGTCACAAATATTTCAAATTCGCACGCTTCGCCTTTCTTCAGAGTTACAATTTGCGGCTCGGTTCGAATTGAGTATTTGTCGCAGCCACCACGTGTTGTGATTTGGATTCATAAAATACCTTTGCCTTTGTTGCCAACACAGAGGAGTTCACGAGACTCCTTTTCAATGGGAATAGCTTCACTGACGTCATCAAATGTCAGCGACTTTTTGTTTGTTAAAATGTTGCCGTCTAACATACTCATTGCAATGTTTGAACGACTCATCTCAAAGACACAGATGTTTTCCATTTTCTTTGTTTCTTTGCGCTTTTGTATAACAATTATTGTAATTATTATAATACCAACAATAATAAGTACTATAATGAACACAGAGACAATTGGAATACCAACAACAACACCATAATTTGTGATGTGAATGCAACTCAACATGTCGTCACTCAATTTTAGTTGTCATCACATTTTGAACATTTGTTGTTGGCAGACTCAACACAGTTCTCAATGGCTGTGTAGTGTGAACAGACACCTGACACTAGTACATCTTCTTTCACACAATCAGTGCACTCATAGATGCCATAACATTGTGAACACGTGTCTCGACACTTCACACACAAATTATATTTATTTGGTGTCCACTTTCACATTGCATTCAACCAGCTGTTGTTCTGTTTGCACACGAAGTCAACTCGCTTTGTGGCGAACACAACTTGGTGACATTTGATGAGGTGCGATAAAATGTCTTATAGCACACAATACAGTTTCCTCCATTTGTGCACGATTTGCACAACTAGTCACAATTTATAGACTTTGACACATCAGATGACCGCATGTACCCCTCCTTGCAGACAACACACCCGCGATATGTTGATCAACACGTTACACACATTGACAAGTTCGTTGATTTCGGTGCAAACGCTGTTGCTGTTTGCGTACGAGTAATCGTCGCACTTGGTGCAGAATGTGTGACGTGTTGATGTCAACATATCGTGGGTACTCACTCTTGGCACACGTGCGTTCTGCGAGGTAATACCCACTCAAACACCCCTTTGTGGTGCTCACTTCACAATGGCTGTCTGTCTGTCTGTGTGTTCTCTTTTTTAGTTGTTTTTTTGGTGGTCTCATTTGGAAGTGTTTGTTGCACACACGAAATTCCATCAAAGTTGTAATTGGTAATAACATAAAATCAAGTGTAACACCAATTAGTGATTATTGTTTCCATAGATGCTGAAGTCTATACAGTGTAACAAAATTATCTAGTGTTACAATAATTGGTAATTAATGTTTCTTCAAATATAGTTAGTTAAGTGGTGTTACAATACTTTCAAGTGTGACATTGATTTGTAATTATCGTTTTTGTCAATGTAACAGTCTGAACAGTATGTTAATACCATTATATGTGATGGTTGTTTCTTTTATTGCACCGTGCCGCAGAAAGTTGTGCACGTGGCGCGTTTAAATAGGACAATACAGAACTATGGAAATAATTGTGTGTAAATTCTGAATTGGTCTTCATTATAAATTATATAGTTAATATTGAAATATTAATAATATAGTATACTAATTATTTACTATATTATAACTATAGTAAATATTATACAACATAACAAACAAATTTTATATATATAATACACAGTCAAAAACATCTATTCTTTGTAATTATAATTGTCGAACTTGTCTAATTGTCGCGCAACTGGTCAATCATTTTGGTGTACGACAATTAAATATTTTGTTCTCGAATCTGTAACTTTTGTTGAATTGAAAACTAATTTTTACTTAAAAATAAATTTCAATATTAAAAAGAATTTTCTACAAAATTCACTCATTTTCGACAAATAGATATATTTTTGTGCCATATTCACGACAAATAGACGCCTTTGACTATTTATAACAATTACACAAAGAGGATAAAAAAAACCGCTTCCATTTTTTTAACCACTTCCTATCGATTTAATAGTTATAACTAATAAAATTATAATAAAAAGTATAATACAAATTACCACCTTGGACAAAAAAGTCTCCACGAGGCATATTCAGCCTTTATGGTAAACAGTATTATACATTTTATAATATTAATATTATTTAAATTTATATAATCAAGTGAAAGAGGTTAAAAAGACGGAAGCGCTATTTTAGCGCTCCAGTAATTATATAACTATAATTGAAATTGAATAAATTATAGTTGTTAAATACTATAAATATAAATATATATTAATATAATATAAATACTATAGTTATTTATATTACTATAAATAACTAATACATTTTACCACAAAAAAAACTAAAAAAACCCTTTTATATTATGTTTCAATTTTGTATAGAAGGCAGTGATTTTCGATATGAAGAGTTGCAAAATTATATCAAGAAGTTTAAAAATGCGTCATGTGACATGACAACGGTGAATATGTGTACCGTAAATGTTAGTTCCAACAAATACGCTAATATAATCAAGAATACAATTGTTGACACAAAACCCTCATATTCTCAAGTGCGTGTTAAAGTAGGAGGAAATAAGGATTTACAGAATATGACTTTATATAAATACAATTTGCCGGATGGGACTACAACAGAACAAGTGCGCGGC